CATCTTGGAGCCAGGACAGCAAACCCACGTGTTTTCGCCGATGGGAACTTGGGTCCCCCTCGCAGCGAGGGCGCAACGAGTCGTTTGGCTGATGCAGAGCGTAGTGCACGCGCTGGGGTGTACGGTTTAACCATGTCCTGGATGTAGGAAGGGCCAGATCCATTCGCAGCATGGTAAGCAAGTACCAGTGTCTTGAAGTGGATTCTAGCAGTTACCGGAAGCCAGTGAAGGGAGCGGAGGAGCGGAGTGGTGTGGGAACATTTAGGAAGGTTGAAGACAAGACGAGCCGCTGCATTCTGGATGAGCTGCAGAGGTCGGATGGCACATGCAGGTAGACCAGCCAGGAGGGAGTTGCAGTAGTCTAGGCGTGAGATGACGAGAGCCTGGACCAGAACCTGAGTCGCTTTCTGAGTCAGCTGGGGACGTATCTTCCTGATGTTGTAAAGCGTGTATCTGCAGCAATGGTTTGTAGCAGCGATGTTTGCAGTGAAGGACAGGTTGTTATCTAGGGTCACACCCAGATTCCTTGCAGTCTGAGTCGGGGAAACAACTGAGGTGCCGATGTTGATTGTTAGGTCAAGAGTGGGACAATCTTTTCCCGGGAGGAAGAGCAGCTCAGTCTTGTCAAGGTTGAGCTTGAGGTGATGATCAGACATCCACTGAGAGATGTCAGCTAGACAAGCAGAGATGCGTGCAACGACCTGGGTCTCTGAGCGGGGAAAGGACAGAATTAATTGGGTGTCGTCAGCGTAGCAGTGGTAAGAAAAACCATGCGGGCTAATGACTGATCCGAGTGAGTTTGTGTACAGGGAGAAGAGGAGGGGACCAAGAACAGAGCCCTGAGGGACCCCCGTAGTTAATTGACAAGGGACATGCTACTCAGACCCTCTCCAAGTCACCCTGTAGGTACGGTCTTTCAGGTATGAGGTGAGGAGGGAAAGTGCAGAGCCTGAAACTCCAAGTTTTTGGAGAGTGCGAAGGAGGATCTGATGATTCACCGTGTTGAATGCAGCAGACAGGTCCAAAAGGATGATGACAGAGGAGAGGGATGCAGTTTTGGCCGTGTGCAGTTCCTCCGTGACAGCAATGAGAGCAGTTTCTGTGGAGTGACCTGCCTTGAAACCAGACTGGTGCGGATCCAGAAGGTTGTTCTGATTGAGATAACAGGAGAGTTGTTTAAAGACAGCGCGTTCAAGTGATTTAGACAGGAACGGGAGGAGAGAGACAGGCCTGTAGTTTATAACATCAGACGGGTTGAGAGTGGGTTTCTTTAGGAGAGGGTTTACTCTTGCCTCCTTGAGACTGTTTGGAAAGTGACCAGAAGTTAGAGAAGTGTTGATGAAATGGGTGAGAAATGGTAGAATATCAGGAGCGATAGTCTGAAGGAGGTTTGAAGGGATAGGGTCCAGAGGACAGGTGGTAGGGCGGGCAGAGGTAATGAGGGTAAGAACCTCACTTGGAGAGAGAGGGGAAAAGGAGGTTAGTGTGTTGGTGGAAGGAAGGTCTGGTGACCCAGCGGTGAGTAAAGGTGAGTCAGAAAAAGAAGAGCAAATATCATCAACCTTTTTTTCAAAGTGGGTAACAAAGTCGCTTGACAGAAGTGAGGAGGGGGGAGGAGCTTTTGGAGGGTCCAAGAGGGTGGAGAAGATGGAAAATAGTTTTTTAGGATTGGAATAGGAAGATTGGATCTTATCTTGAAAGAAAGTGCTTTGTGCCTGAGAGATGGAAGCAGAGAAAGAGGAGAGGAGAGCTTGATAGGTTAGGAGGTCGTCACGGTGTTTGGATTTCCACCGTTTCCGCTCTGCTGCCCTAAGGACGGTTCTATTAGCACGCAGTGCATCATTTAGCCAGGGAGCAGGAGGGGACTGACGAGCCTGCCGAGATGTGAGAGGACAGAGAGAGTCCAGAGAGGATGAGAGAGTAGAGAGGAGAGTTTCTGCAGCAGAGTTTGGAAGCAGGAGTTGGAACGAATCAGAGGAAGGGAGGGCTGAGAGCACCGACGAGGCAAAGGTAGAGGGGGAGAGGGAGCGAAGGTTACGGCGGACAAGTGTAGGATGGGAAGAGATTAGTTTGTTATGTTTGGAAAGGGATAGCTTCAGTAGCTACAGTAACTATAGTAGCTTCAGTAGCTACAGTAGCTACATTATCTTCAGTAGCTTCGGTAGCTATAGTAACTATAGTAGCTTCAGTAGCTACATTAGCTACAGTAACTATAGTAGCTTCAGTAGCTACAGTAACTATAGTAGCTTCAGTAGCTACAGTAGCTACATTAGCTTCAGTAGCTTCGGTAGCTACATTAGCTTCAGTAGCTATAGTAGCTTCAGTAGCTACATTAGCTACAGTAACTATAGTAGCTTCAGTAGCTACAGTAGCTACATTAGCTTCAGTAGCTTCGGTAGCTACAGTAACTATATTAGCTTCAGTAGTAGATATTACGTCTCACTTTTATAAAAATCAAAACACAATTTAAACTTTATAAAACACATTTCAACTGTTTAAGTAGCAAGCTAACTAAAATGCTGACTCACCAGGTCAATCCCCAATATGGGAGGAAGGGTTCTCCCTCAACTATTCCAAAGCTAAACAGCTTCTTGTTAGCCTGGTAGTCTCCTCAGTGCAATAAACAGTACATTTATCATTTAAAACAACTTTTCTCAATCTTTATACCCTGCTAGCTTGAGTGAGCTGCTGCACTTTGAGGAGCTGCGTCAGTGAAGCATTGAGGGAACCACCGTAAAACACAGCAAGTTACAGTCAAATAGAGAGGCGAAGTTATGGAGTCAGATTTGGGTCAATATTCTCGCGCGTAAAACAAGCTACTCACGAGCGGAAAATGTGCTTTTACACGCGCATAAAATGACACTCGCGCGCATATTAAACCCCCGCGAGCGGCTCTGCGCCCGCGAGCGGCTCTGCGCTCGCTCGCGAGAGAGACAGCCCTCTTGCTTGCTCGCGGGAGTGTCAGCCTCGCGGAGTCTGTCTACGCGCGTGTGAAAGGTTTCTGGCACTTTGGGGCGGAGCCACTGGACTTTGATTGACAGCTGCCAGGAAACCCGGGGTTGCCAGGTTTGATAAATGCCTGAACTACCAAGAGCCGAGTAGTGACGGCAGCAAAAGCTAGGTGCGTACAGCAGACAGTAGCAAGCAGTTTTCGACGGACACAGCCCACTGAAAAATATATTGTTTTATATCAAATTAATGTATATTACATTACATTACATTGCATTGCATTTAGCTGACGCTTGTATCCAAAGCGACTTACAATAAGTACATTCGACCAGGAAGACACAACCTTGAAGAAAACAGAATCATATATATATATATATTAGCTGTACACTTTACGAATATAATAGTTTTTTATGGACAACTTTACCATTCAATCTCGTCCAACTGATTTTGCTGCCGTCACTGCTCGGCTCTTGGCAGTTCAGGCATTTATCAAACCTGGCAACCCCGGGTTTCCTGGCAGTTGTCAATCAATGTCCAGTGGCTCCGCCCCAAAGTGCCAGAAACTTTTCACGCGCGCGTAGACAGACTCCGCGAGGCTGACACTCCCGCGAGCAAGCAAGAGGGCTGTCTCTCTCGCTCGCGAGCGCAGAGCCACTCGCGGGCGCAGAGCCGCTCGCGGGGGTTTAATCTGCGCGCAAGGGTCATTTTATGCACGTGTAAAAGCACATTTTCCGCTCGTGAGTAGCTTGTTTTACGCGCGAGAATATTGACCCAAATCTGACTCCATAGAAGTCACGCCCATCTACTTCCGGTCCATGGGACCTTATTTCTGAAAAATAATGTATTGAAGTCAATGGAGAGAGAAAGATTATCTTCCGATCCCGTTTGAATTGTGCCATGAATTACACACATGATGTTTGTCAATCTTAAAAAATAAAGTTTTAACAACATGTTTCTTTATTGACTTTTCATTCCTGTATAATCATTTTGCGCAAAGATGGCGCTGTTTGTCAGAGTACTTCATGAAGAACAGCTCCAATGCCTGTGTGTATGGGAACGCCTCTGGTGCTGGTCCATTAACTGCCAGTGTTTCCCACAGATCTGAAATATACTTGGCGGGGTGGTGGTAGCGGGGGGTTGAGGTGACGTGCAACAACATTAACATGAACCTTTCTGTTGGTCGCTTGTTAGCAGACACGCGATGGCAGAGCGAACAGGTACAGGCAGGGCCCATAATGATAGCCCTATCGTTTAAATCTACTACCCACACATGAACATACGGAAATGGGTTACTATTTAAAAAGATGAATGTATTTATAAATGTATTTAGGAACCTATCCATGTGATTTTTAGTGGGGGTCGACCTCAAATCCTCTAGACACTCAGAGTCCTTTACCTCACCTGAGCTGAGGTTATCCCGAGCTTGAATGACACACAGAGACCAATCAAGGGCTTTGATTGGATCATGTCGGCAGGCCACATCATGTGGACAGCCAGTCACCCTGTGAGGCAGGCCACTTAACAGGCCAGAAGGAGGCGAGATCAGAGCAAGGGAGCGAGGGATCATTGTCCACAAGTTAATCGATCGCAGATGGCGTCGTGGTCACGGACGAATACAAATTAAAAAAAAAAAAAAATTATTAAAAAAAAAAAAAAATCGGCCGTTAATATACCCGGGCGGCCGTTAATATACCCGGGCGGCCGTTAATATACCCGGGCGGCCGTTAATATACCCGGGCGGCCGTTAATATACCCGGGCGGCCGTTAATATACCCGGGCGGCCGTTAATATACCCGGGCGGCCGTTAATATATCCGGGCGGCCGTTAATATACCCGGGCGGCCGTTAATATACCCGGGCGGCCGTTAATATACCTGGGCGGCCGTTAATATACCTGGGCGGCCCGCCCAAGTATAGTCTATGTGTGGGAAACCCTGCATTCTATAATACACCATTTAAGTCCGGGGGAGAAATGCTAACGCTACATTAGCATCATCTGTTCTACTTCAACAGGTGAACAGGTACTCACAGGTGATGGTTTTCTGTCTGCAGGTTGGAAGACATCGGGCTGGAGAAGTTCTCTGTTCCGGTTCTCTTCACCAGGATCTTCATCCCGGCTGCCTTCCTGCTGGTACTGTCTCTCCTTCTGTAGGGTCTGCGGGTTCTGAAGGGTCTAACAGAACCCTCGTGTTTACAGGTGATCTCTCTGTCTCTGTTCCACAGGTGTGTATCGTTCACTTGCATTACTTCCACGAGCCCTTCCTGCAGCTCACAGACCTGAAGACTGTGGTGGACACACACAACAGCACCATCACCAGGTACACACACACACACACACACACACACACACACACACACACACACACACACACACACACACACACACACACACACACACACACACACACACACACACACACACAACACACACACACACACACACACACACACACACACACACACACACACACACACACACACACACACACACACACACACACACACACACACACACACACACACACCTGTCTGTCTCTCTGAACCTGTCTCTCTGAACCTGTCTCTCTGAACCTGTCTCTCTGAACCTGTCTCTCTGTACCTGTCTCTCTGTACCTGTCTCTCTGTACCTGTCTCTCTGTACCTGTCTCTCTGTACCTGTCTCTCTGAACCTGTCTGTCTCTCTGAACCTGTCTCTCTGTACCTCTCTCTCTGTACCTGTCTGTCTCTCTGTACCTGTCTCTCTGTACCTGTCTCTCTGTACCTCTCTCTCTCTCTGTACCTGTCTCTCTGTACCTCTCTCTCTGTACCTGTCTCTCTGTACCTGTCTGTCTCTCTGTACCTGTCTCTCTGTACCTGTCTGTCTCTCTGTACCTGTCTCTCTGTAACCTGTCTGTCTCTCTGTAACCTGTCTGTCTCTCTGTACCTGTCTCTCTGAACCTGTCTATCTGAACCTGTCTCTCTGTACCTGTCTCTCTGAACCTGTCTCTCTGAACCTGTCTCTCTGTACCTGTCTCTCTGAACCTGTCTCTCTGAACCTGTCTGTCTCTCTGAACCTGTCTCTCTGTACCTGTCTGTCTCTCTGTACCTGTCTCTCTGAACCTGTCTGTCTCTCTGAACCTGTCTGTCTCTCTGAACCTGTCTCTCTGAACCTGTCTGTATCTCTGTACCTGTCTGTCTCTCTGTACCTGTCTCTCTGAGCCTGTCTCTCTGAACCTGTCTGTCTCTCTGAACCTGTCTCTCTGAACCTGTCTCTCTGTACCTGTCTCTCTGAACCTGTCTCTCTGAACCTGTCTCTCTGAACCTGTCTCTCTGAACCTGTCTCTCTGAACCTGTGTCTCTGTACCTGTCTCTCTGAACCTGTCTCTCTGAACCTGTCTCTCTGAACCTGTCTCTCTGAACCTGTCTGTCTCTCTGAACCTGTCTCTCTGTACCTGTCTCTCTGTACCTGTCTCTCTGAACCTGTCTGTCTCTCTGAACCTGTCTCTCTGAACCTGTCTCTCTGTACCTGTCTCTCTGAACCTATCTGTCTCTCTGTACCTGTCTCTCTGAACCTGTCTCTCTGTACCTGTCTGTCTCTCTGTACCTGTCTCTCTGTACCTGTCTCTCTGAACCTGTCTCTCTGAACCTGTCTCTCTGAACCTGTCTGTCTCTCTGAACCTGTCTGTCTCTCTGAACCTGTCTGTCTCTCTGAACCTGTCTCTCTGAACCTGTCTGTATCTCTGTACCTGTCTGTCTCTCTGAACCTGTCTCTCTGAACCTGTCTCTCTGAACCTGTCTCTCTGTACCTGTCTGTCTCTCTGTACCTGTCTCTCTGAGCCTGTCTCTCTGAACCTGTCTGTCTCTCTGAACCTGTCTCTCTGTACCTGTCTGTCTCTCTGAACCTGTCTCTCTGTACCTGTCTCTCTGAACCTGTCTGTCTCTCTGAACCTGTCTGTCTCTCTGAACCTGTCTCTCTGAACCTGTCTCTCTGTACCTGTCTGTCTCTCTGTACCTGTCTCTCTGAGCCTGTCTCTCTGAACCTGTCTGTCTCTCTGAACCTGTCTCTCTGTACCTGTCTGTCTCTCTGAACCTGTCTCTCTGTACCTGTCTCTCTGAACCTGTCTGTCTCTCTGAACCTGTCTGTCTCTCTGAACCTGTCTGTATCTCTGTACCTGTCTGTCTCTCTGAACCTGTCTCTCTGAACCTGTCTCTCTGTACCTGTCTGTCTCTCTGTACCTGTCTCTCTGAGCCTGTCTCTCTGAACCTGTCTGTCTCTCTGAACCTGTCTCTCTGAACCTGTCTCTCTGTACCTGTCTCTCTGAACCTGTCTCTCTGAACCTGTCTCTCTGTACCTGTCTCTCTGAACCTGTCTCTCTGAACCTGTCTCTCTGAACCTGTCTCTCTGAACCTGTCTGTCTCTCTGAACCTGTCTCTCTGTACCTGTCTCTCTGTACCTGTCTCTCTGAACCTGTCTGTCTCTCTGAACCTGTCTCTCTGAACCTGTCTCTCTGTACCTGTCTCTCTGAACCTGTCTGTCTCTCTATGTACCTGTCTCTCTGAACCTGTCTCTCTGTACCTGTCTGTCTCTCTGTACCTGTCTCTCTGTACCTGTCTCTCTGAACCTGTCTCTCTGAACCTGTCTCTCTGAACCTGTCTCTCTGAACCTGTCTGTCTCTCTGTACCTGTCTCTCTGAGCCTGTCTCTCTGAACCTGTCTCTCTGAACCTGTCTCTCTGAACCTGTCTCTCTGAACCTGTCTCTCTGTACCTGTCTCTCTGACCTGTCTCTCTGATCTGTCTCTCTGAACCTGTCTCTCTGAACCTGTCTCTCTGAATGTCTCTCTGAACCTGTCTCTCTGTACCTGTCTCTCTGTACCTGTCTCTCTGTACCTGTCTCTCTGTACCTGTTTCTCTGTACCTGTCTCTTTCTCTGTACCTGTCTCTCTGTACCTGTCTCTCTGTACCTGTCTCTCTGTACCTGTCTCTCTCTCTGTACCTGTCTCTTTCTCTGTACCTGTCTCTCTGTACCTCTCTCTCTGTACCTGTCTCTCTCTCTGTACCTGTCTCTCTGTACCTGTCTCTCTGTACCTGTCTCTCTGTACCTGTCTCTCTCTCTGTACCTCTCTCTCTGTACCTGTCTCTCTGTACCTGTCTTCTCTCTGTACCTGTCTCTCTGTACCTGTCTCTTTCTCTGTACCTGTCTCTCTGTACCTGTCTCTCTGTACCTGTCTCTCTGTA